TTTTTTTTTTTTTGTGGGTTTGGTTGTTTGATTAAGATGAAGAATTGTTGGATTCGATATTGAATTGATTGTTTGATTGAATTGATTGTGTGAATGAAGGATATTGAATTGATTATTTGATTGAATTGATTGTGTGAATGAAGGAAGTTTCAAGAAAGAAGATGCTGGAGGAGGAAGAAGATGATGCAAAATTGTAATTTGGTGGGCCCCACTTTTGTTTTTGCGTATGACCATGTCATCATTTATCCACGTGTACAACTGACGTGGCTTAAATTTTTGATATATCTGTGAGTTAACGGACGATTTTTAACAGAAGGACCAAATCGGGATAAAAATGGTAAACAGTAGGGACCAAATCAGTGATTTTTTTAGTTTATGGATCAAATTGAGAATCCGTACGATAGTTCAGGGACCAAAAAGGGGTTTTAACCTTGATAATATCATATCCTTATGTAAAGTCTACGTCTCATTAAATTAACCATTACATCTGGGAGAAATTCTGTTGTAGTCCCGAGATACTACTGACGTAGTATCCTAAACCAATGAAAAAACCCACATCACCTCTTCTCTACAAGTAATTGATGAAGTGTGAAAAAAAGAAGGTGATATGGTATTGTTTTATTGATTTTGGATATTACATCCGATGGTATTTTGAGGATACAACAAAATTTTTTTACATTTAGGGTTTTTTTTTTGTTGGTTTTTCGTCTGGTATCTAGGGTTTTACTCCGACTAATTTAGACCCGACCCGCGTCGCACACCTGAAAACGATGGGTGAGTCTCTCAACGAGATCTGTTGCGTACACAAAGTCTCGAATTCAAGATTTTGCTTAAGCTGGAACAAGCTGCTTACCACTTGATCCAACCCCTCGTTGGTAAAGATGTAAGGTTTTATAACTTAAAATCTCATAATAAATATTAAAGGTCCAATAAATATAATTTTTAGTTATAAATTTTTAAGATAAATATAAAAATTGGCATTAATTAATTTTAATATAAATGTTATATGCTTGAATTTAATTAAATAATTAATAAATTAAAAATAATTTTTTATTTTTATATAAAATTAAAAATATATATATATTTATTATACTTTTAATTTA